TCTTTAACAAATGAAGTTGGAAGCCAAAGCGTTACAAGTGAATCTCTTTAAGGGGAACCATTGGACAGTAGAGAGGAGACACGTGAGCGGGTCTGGGTCCCAGCCCCGGGCGTCCTGCCGCTGCTGGAGCCTCCAGCGCTCCCCGGGTCACTGGAGGGGCGACGCCGCGGGAGCCGGAGCGTCCGCGTCTTTACGTGCCGTTCTTCAGCTCCCACTCCTGCCAGGCGGGGCGAGAGGAAGGGTCAAGATCAAGACAGTGCAGACACCCCTCCAGCGCCCGCGCCCTGGAAAGTGAGGCTGGGTGGCACCGAGGTTCCTGAACCCAAATCACAGACGGAGAATCACCATACGGCCCATAAATGAGACCAGCCCGAGGCCCACCAAGGGCTCTGGGCAGATCCACAGGGACATGTGCGTGGCATGGTGGTCCCCACGGGGGCCTGGCACCAGGCAGGGCCTTTCCTCCGCTGCCCTGGGGGCAGCGCGCGTGGCGATGCTGGTCTGAGACACCTGCCCAACTCCTGCTGTGTTGAGGGGTCATTAACTGGGCCGAGAGTACACTGCGCACCTTCTCATTTTCGTGTATCGTATAAATTTAGGAATTTCTCACCTTTTATAGAATTAAAGTTCAAGCTTAATTAAGGATTCAAAGCCTGGCATTAGCAAACGTGGCAGAAACAGAACACAAACTGAGCCGCCCTCCACCTCGGGAAAACCAGGCATGAGCACCCGCAGATTCTGTGAGGGCGAGGATGACCTGGGGTCCCGCCTTCCTCCTGCCCTCCCCTCCTGGCTCCCAGAGAGGACGCTGGGCGCCGCACACAGAGGAGGCGCTCAGGGACGCCGGGCCCAGCACTCCAGGGCAGCTCTCTGCACAGCTTGCCAGCCCCCGACAGGGTGGTGCAGACTCAGACAGATGGTGTGTATGTGAGTGTGTGTCACCTACAGACACTGACAATGTCACCCACACCCACTGATGTGTGCAATCGCAGGACCAAGCACGGGTCGCCCTGGCCATGAAGCAGAGAGCTCCGAGGACCCGCCCAAGTGGGAGGACAAGGTGGGTGTTTGTGCCTGGGGCAGCGCAGCCCTGGGGCCCTGGACACGGGGCACGTGGGGTGGTTCTGAAAGCACCGCAGCCACCCCACTCGGGCCTCCAGAACACTCCTCGCTTGGCACCAGGATTTCCCAGGCTGAGGGAGAACGCTGGGCCTGGAGCCCGACATCCTGGTCTCTTCCAGCCCCCTTCCCACGGGGACAGCCAACTTGACTTTCAAGAGCGCGCTCTCCCATACTCAGAGCACTCCCTGCCAGGAACTGGAAGTTGTTTTAGGAATACTGCCTGGGATAACACTTCCCGAGCCCAGAATGAGTCAGACTCTTCGGCCCTTAGGAAAAGGCCAGGGTGGGAGAGGAGACCACGTGTACCCCGCGCCTCCAAGTGTACTGATGCTCCCAGAGCCAGAAGGCCACGCCCCCGCCCCTCCTCCAGCCGCGGGGCCCTGGCACTACTCTCAGGCGTCCCGGGCCAGCCGCGCCCAATCCCACTCCTTCAGTGAGGCTGAGGGCAAGGCTCCTGGCTACTTCCGCGGTGCTTTCTGGACCAGCGAGCAGGGCTGGCTATTTCCCTCCGTGAGTGTGGGCCGGTCTGAGCGGCCAGCTGTGCATCTGAATCAGCCATAACCATACATCTGACATTCATCACACAAACGGGGCTGAAACTGCAGAGAACTGAGCCTCCGAAGGTGAGGGCAGCCCCCCCAGGAAACGGGGCCATTCAGAGGCTGGAGTTACAGAACTGTAAACCGATTTCTTTGTCTGTAAGGAAACCAATTAAATGAAATACTTTTTACCGTATTTCCCTTTTTCAAATAATTAGGGGGAATTTATTGGACAGCTCAATTCTAAATAGCTCTCAGGCTAAACATATTCCTTTGCAAATGAACATAACAGTTACAAACTGAGAACCCTTGATGGATGCTGAGGAAAGTAACAAATGATGCACAGGATTCTTCTTTGGCCCACATCTGCCGGCACACACAGGCTCAGCCAAGCGTATCTACTGAGAAGGACAGATGCGCTAGGGACCATCGTCAGGGACCCGCCCCTGAACACACCGGGGTGTAGCCAGTGGTCAACACACACTTTCTTGTTTAACACCAGATCTACCTTTCAGAAAATAATATATTTCTAGCCAATTTAGAATGGGTTCCAAAGCTGCTGAAGAACAAAGGTAATGACAGCAACTAGAGGCCACTGGAGACAGGGAAGGGAGGGCGTCCGGCCTCGTTCATCAGAACAAATTAAATTCCTTTGGATGATTTAGTGTAATTGTACCAAGTATGACTTTTCATACGATACACTTTCAGTTATGCCATCAAGAACTGTTTCCTTTGATAAATGACAGCTTTTCAAATTTTCTGAGATTTTTAAGTTTAGTATCAAAGCATTAGTGGCTAATCCCATCAGAAGACTGGAAGATACTGCCGGGGGGGCCTCCCCAGGCCCCAGTTTACAAGGCCGAGGGTGGGGAGGGAGAAGAGGAGTTGGAGAGAGTTTATGCCTGGACTTTCCATTCTTTGAAAGACCCCAGCAGCCACTGGGTCCAGTCTCTCCTCCACCAATGAGAAAACAGGTCAGGAGAAGCCAGGAGGCCTGCGGGACCAGAGAGAGAACCAGAGCGGCTGGGTTTCCTGGCAGCAGGTGGTAAAGGCCTTGAGGCAAGGTTCTGGACTTTTCTGCCTTTGAGAAGGAGGATTCCTGATGAGGGGTCTGATTTAGGAAGGGACGACATCTAATACAGAAGCTACAGAACTGAAACAGGAGGCCTGACGTAGCTGCTTCACCCCCTACAAAAGTCTGGAGCTGAAGTGCCCCCACCCCGTGAGCCTGTGTCAGAGCTGGTGCTCCCCCCACACCCCCAGAGTGCCTGCTCCCCCATCAGAGCTAATGTCCCCCCCACACCCCCGGGTGCCTGCTCCCCCATCAGAGCTAATGTCCCCCCACACACACCCCCCGGGATGCCTGGTCCCCCATTAGTGCCCACGCTCCCCCCAGGCAGGGGGGGGAGAGAGCTCACCTTGGCCTTCCGAAGCACGTGTCCCCGGCAGGGGGAGCTGCCGGCGGCCGGCTGGCTCTTCTTCAGGACAGCTGCACTGTTCACAGGCACCGGGCCCTCAGCGTCACTGGTTTCGCAGCTGGACATGGGCGAGTTCTCCAGAGTCCGATGCCTGAACACTGGAGACTGTTAAGAAAAGACACTGAGTAAGGTATGGTTTCCAGGCCATCAGTATTTTCCACTAGGAAAATGGTTTATTTTAAAGAAAAAAATGGGTTTGGAAATAGGCAAAAATGCTAACAGCAGTAATAAGGACACCTTGTAGTGTCAATTCTAAAAGCAGCGTTAAAACCTCCATCTTACAGGTGGAAAGACTGAGGCTGGGAGGGGGTCATGGCTGGGAAGGGAGGGGAAGGAGGGGCTCCAGTCCAGCCTTCTGTGTCCAGCGTGGGCCTCCCCGCCTCCAGTGTGAGCACCTGCACGAAGCTGTCTGACTTCAGAGAGCTCGAACACCTGCAGACCCAGCAGCAAAACCACAGTGCCCGAGGCGGGCTCCGGGACCCAGGACGCGGGCGGGGCTCAGCGGGGCCACCCAACGCGGATTCACACAGTCAGAGGGTTTCCGACAGTTTACAGTACGGTTCACGCGGGTGGAAGGAAGACTTCAGATGGAGCAAAGTGAATCTTCTGTGGAAGCCCCCCAACCTTGCTTCTTTCACAGGAGATTAAGAGTTGCTCTTTGGGGAAAAAAGCTGGGAATTTGCTGCACTTTCCTGAGTGACGTGTCTGAGGACAAACCACTCCCTCCTCTTCCTGTGTAACACGCAACTTCAGAAATACCCATTAGGTCACACAGCGTTGTCTTAGGAGAACAGTATTTCAATTACCACTCAAACCCACCCTGGGGGCTACAGACCACGGATCCCAAGCAGCTGGCTTTCCCATCTTCTCCTTTACTGGGAAATGCTTTTAAAAGACAGCGCTGGCAGGGAGGGAGTGGGGGTGGCACGGTTGGTAAAAAGGAGAGAATGAGACCATCCACCTCCGGGAGGGGCTGAGCTGGGCTCCAGGAGGGCGGCATGAGGCTCCTCTGGGCCTGTCTGTCTCACGAGCTGCTGGTCCAAGGATCCAAGGATGGGGAGGACACGGAACACAGCAGAGAGCTGCACGCTGGGCGGACAAGGGCAGCCAAGGCCCGGGAGAGGCCCTCGACACAGGAGTGGCCCCTGGTCTGAAAGCAGGAACTCTAACGAGCTGGTCCTGCACCCTCAGGAGGATGGGGCCACGGGAAGACGAGCTGACGAGGGGGGCCGTGGGGAGGCTCCAGAGAGGTAGGGAAAGCCCTGGAGAATGTGGGGTCACAGACACAGAAAGCAGCGAGCGGTGCCCGGAGACACCTAGACCCGGGGAGGTGGGGGCTGAGGTCATGTGAACGAAAGCAGTTCAGGGAGCAGGCCGACCACAGTGGGGGAGAACAGTGGGCACACTGGACACATGGCACACAGGACAGTGACCGCAGGGGATGTGGGGCTGAGGCAGAATCTTTTTAGGATGGAGCATCTTTCAATGCTTCGAGGAGGCAGGGGAGTTGCAGACACGGGAGAGAAGGTAAGGTAAGAGAGAGTCAGATCCGGAGCCCAGAACCTCCACTTGCAGGGGATCCAAGGACGGTGATGCCCGCAGGTCCTCAGCCCTCTCCTGGGAAGTCAAGAGGCCACCGGGTCCACAGGCTTTCCTGCCTCCTGTCCACCTCTGACGAGGGCCACCAGGTGCCCCTGGGATAGAGCCCTGCCCTGCATGGGCCAGCGCTCACTGCCCTGCTACCACTCTGGGTAGGACCGGCCTCCTTACGCCCTTGGTCCCCTGTTCTGTTGGGTGCTGAGAAGCCTGCGCCGTCCATCGGCCCCAGGACTCTGGTGCCCTCCACCCTCTTGCCTGCTGTACCACCGCACACAGCACTTACCAGGACCTGACGCGAGTGTGTTACATGAAGCATCTGTGGCGTTCACTGTTGTGTGCCTGGAACCGTTTCCAGGACACAGAAGGGGCACAGAGCACACACACATAATTCACCGAATGAATATGTATATACGAGCTCATGAATACACAAATGAATGGACCGACACCTGCGTGGGCTCGGCCCTGTGCCCAGAGCTGTCTCACACATGGTCCCACGCAGTAGGCAGTACCCTCACCCCTAGTCCGCATGCGGAACACCGAGGCCTAGGGAAGGGAGGTAACCCCTTCACTCCCAGGGCCTGCTTTCCTAGCCACCCCACTCTGCTGTGCACGAGGGAACCTGGCCGCATGGTTGGTGGTGTGGTGTGGTGCTGGTGGTGGGAGCTCCCGCAGTGCTGCTGGAATTCACTCTGTCAAGCTGGGGGGGAGGCCATCCCCTGAAAGTGTCACTGGAGAGGGACGGGTGACCAGAGAAGGGAGAAGTTGTAAGATGGTCTCTGTGGGCAATGGGAGGACGAGGGGACCACTGCTGGGGGCGGCGAGGTGGGAGACAGGACCTCAGTGGTGCCACATGCCTATACACGGAAACTCTGCCTGGGTGTCCACCCCATGCTGTGGGAGGGGCCTCGGGGGCTTCAGCCGGGCTGGGCATCCTGCCAAGCGGTTGCTCGGGTGCTGGCCAGGCACGGGGAGGGGAGCAGCCGGGAGCAGGGCTGTGCTCTGAGGCAAGTCCCCTGGGCCTCCAGCTCCTCATCTGGGAACCAGAAGCCATCACGTCTGACTCACAAGGTAGCAAGGACTCGATGGACAGCTTGTGAAAAGACAACAGCAAGTTCGCCAACGGGAGCGAGCGGCAGGTCACTGCAGGTGCTGACTTGTGTCCGCAAAGTGACTTCTGCTTGCCCCATAAGCTCCCGAGTTTACAGACCGTTTCACTCACGTCTGTCTCCCCTGTGCCTGGAGTAATTCTCAAGACACGTGCGACATTTTATAAAAATTCGCTGCCTTTAATTAAGATTTCTACCTAACGAACTGGCAGCAAATTAGGACACGGTTCAGAAGAGAAAAAGAACTATACTTATTACAATCAGACTTTGCAAAGGGGTGGAAAACAGACTCACCACCTTTAAAAAAGTTCAGTGGAAAAGACGGGAGAGTGTGACGTAGTGACGCTGAGACACAGCTGAGCAGTGTCTGCAGGGGACACAGTAGCCATGTCTGCAGTGCCGAAGCTGCGGGGGCAAGAGGTAGACCCACCTGCGGACTGGACGTCCCTGACTTGGGCTCGATGGCCAGCCCCAGGGTGATCCCGCCGGCCAGGGCCTTCTTCAGGCTCTCCTTGACCTCGGTCAGCTCCAGCTCCAGGTTGACGCGCTCCGTCTCCTTCTGCTTACACTCTTCCTCCAGCTTCTTCAACTTGTCCTCCAGGATCACCTGTGTCTTCCTGCCTGAAATCCCAGAGAAACGCTGCTGCTGCACCCGAGGGCCACGGCCCCAGGATAACCGAGGACGGACACCTGGTGCCCCTAAAAGGAGCTCGGTATAGCTTGGTGGGGGGATTGAGCGCCCCTGACGAGGGTCCTTTCTACAAAACTCAAACCCAGCTGTGCCTGAAAGGGCAGGGTCCTTTCCTAAGCGCTCTCCTTTGCTGCAGCTCAGCTGGAAGAGTATGGACCAGGAAGCACAGGGCGTGGGTTCTCATGGATTCTAGGAGTTCGGTGTCTGGGCCTCCATGGCCTCATCTTAAAACGAGGAACTTGAACTAGACGGCTTCCAAAGGGGCCGCGGACTTGACAAGGCTGAGTGTTTCTGAGCCCTCACTCTCCTGCTAGTCACTCTCGGGTGGTCTTACTCGCCCCCAGGGTCAAAGTACAACCTGCACCTCCCCAGAACGGGGCACGCGCTCTTTACTTATTTTGTCTGAAATGAGTTACGGGAAGGCAGCGGTGCGCCCATTGGACAGGTGAGACGACTGACTCCTTGGGGTAGCCGACGTGTGCATGGGGCCCTGGCCTGGTGCCTGGAAGCATGTGAGTCTCTTTTCTGAGGCCAAAAGCTGGGCTGATCTTTCTGCATCTTCACTATCCTGCAAACTGGAAACAAGGGAAAGAAGAAACCCCACTCCGCCTCGCTGCCCTGAAGGTGCCTACCCATCGCTCTGACTCGGCGTCTGCCCCCTCCCGGGCAGCCTCTCCTGCCCCCCCTGCAGTTTGACTCGGGCCAGCTCAGCCCACACCTAGCCTCCCATCCTTTAAACTCTGAAAGCACTTTCTTAAAAGTCATCTGGGCACCAAGTCAGGAAAGGCTGGAACTGCTGACTGTGCGCTGACTCCTCACCGCACAGGAGGGAGCTGGGAACCGCTGGGAAGCAGGTGCTTCCTCTCGGGACCATCCTCGTCTCTGCACTGGTACTCCCTCCTCCTTGCCCTCCAAGGCCCCAAACACTGAAAGCTACGGAGTCAGTCTTGCCCCAGGGTAAGACTCAGTCTTGCACTGAAACTTTGTCTAGTCAAGCAGCTCCCTAGCCCCCGCCAGCAACCCAGACACAGGGCCCCGGTCCTGACTGAGTGGCTGTCTTTACCCTTTTCCTCTCAGAGGACTGTCAGTCCCCTAACCTGGCCTCTTCCCCTGGTTCCGCCCGTAAACCTGACACCACCGCGCTCTCACAGTCCCTTCTCAGGGAACCGAAGGCCCCTTCTGCCCATACAGAGACCTCCCACCCGGACTTCTGAGTATTACCTGTCCTCCTGCTGAGAACCCCATCGTCCAGTGACCAGAAACTCCTGACCCCTAATGCGTCAGACGATCTCTGCCGTCAGCACCCGAGCCCGGGACAGCTCCGGGGCCGACCCGCCTCAGCCCGCAGTTGAGGGCCTCCCTGGCCTCCTGCCTATTCTGTTGTTGCACCTGCCCCGGGCTGACCAGCCATGCTTCCACAGTGCAAGAAGCGCGGCATGGACTGACCGAGTCTTACTGAGGCTCAGACCCTGTGGGCAGAGCAGGATGAAGCCTGCCTGGACTTGAACACAAGTTGGTGCGGGCCCCGCCCTGCCCCGTACCCGTGTTGACTTCGATGGCCGCCCTCAGGCCCTTCCTCTCCTTCCGGAGCTGGGCCAGCCTGTCCCGCAGGCCTTCCCTCCTCTTCAGCAGCTCCTCCTCCTTGGCCTGCAGCCGCTTGGCATCAGCTTCGACCCGGTTCTTGCCGTATTTATACTGGTCAGCATCTTGCCCAAAAAAAAAGCATCAATAGGAGATTAGGTTTAACCAAGTAGGCGACAGCAGGGTAATTCATAGAGCCTGTTTGATCAGCCGACAGAGTAACACAAGCCTGAAGCAGGCCGTCATGCTGATCAACCAGAAAGCGCAAAGGGCAGACTCGAGCTGAGCAGCAAAGTGACTGGTTCAGATTACCCAATACTCTTTGAAACAAATTTTAAAAATGAAAACAAAATCTCAGGAAATTCCCTTAATGCCTCCCTTGGAGGCACGCACCTTAGAATCTTCAGTAAGGTGGAGAGTGAAGGTGCCAACCAGACTGACCAAGGCTCACACGTTCACAGCTTCTGGCCATCAGCTGCTCACCCCGATGACGACTTGAAGGCCTCGGGGACCTCCCGCTCCTCTGTGGGCTCACACCTGCAGCACCCGTAGTTGTTTATTCGCATGCCTGACTCCCTTGCTAGACTAGGAGCACTTCTGGGGTGACGCCGTGGAGGGCGGCGTCACAGTTCGCAAGACAGGCAATGGACCCAAGACAGGGATTCCGGGCGAACAATGAATCTCCCGCAGCCCCAGCGTCACCCTCCACGGAGCAGGAGAGGTGAGGTCTGCTCTGTGGGCGTCAAAGAAACCAGCTTGATACATGACCCTAAAACCCATCTAACATGACCGTGTGATGCCTGGGCCGTGGTAGGCATAAGCTCAGATCTATCAGGGATAACGGAGCCCCGAGAACCCTGTCCACCCAGACAATGGTGAGCCATTCCTAGCGTCTGTCCTAAATGCCCAATTCACCAACTCTCGCCAGGCAAACTGTCGTGACTGCAATGAGAACCTCACTTATGAAGGCAGGCACACAGCCATCACTCCCCACTCAGCCTCCCGCCTCACCAAAAACCGACCAACCCCACACACACAGTGAAATGAAAAGGCTCGCAGCGTGAGGCTGACCAAACCAACAACCTGAGACTAAGGCACTGCCCTAGTGGCTTGGCTAACCACACGTTTTACAAACAGAGCAAGCTCCAAACCCCCCTTTTCCTCATCTGAGATGCTCCCGACAAACCTACATGTGGTAACCGACAGCCGTCCGCACCTTCTGGTCCGCGTGCAGTAAGCCCCATCCAGTCTATAAAGCAACTGGCTCAACTCAGCAAAAACAAAGAATGCAATTACTTTTCTCTTTTTTCATCATTAGATGTCACCAAAGTTAATAAATATTCCTACAGAAGGACTTATAAAATAAACGAATGAATCATCTAGGGAATAAAATCAGCCCAGGTGCCGAGAGGGGCGCTACACGGAGCCCGAGCTTCCTGTTGAGTCAGGCCCCACACAACAAAGCTCTGCAGGCCCGTTACTCCCTCCCCTACCTGCCCCTTTCCAAATGGACAACACTAAAATTCTAAGTGAATGTAAGTGCACCTGACTGCATGAGGGAGATGAGATTTGCCAGAAAAGTAAGGTCAAAATAAGCTGCACGCAGCACAAATCGGTGATGAGGGTTTGGCACCGCTGGCTGCTGGGAGGTGTGTTTGGGGAGGAGGGAGAGCAGGTGAGCTTCTGTGAAGAAGGCACACACTTCCCTGGGGCAGAAGCAGGGAGCACCGTCCAACAAGACTGGGACCCATCCACGGGAGAGGCTGAGGATGAAGCCCTCTCCATCCACCTCGTGTGCTCTCCGACTCTGAAATCCAATCACCGTGCAGACAGGAGGCTGGCACACTGGGCACGGTGCCGCCTGGTGTGCAGGCTGCTGCCTGGAGCCGCCAGCCTAGTCTTCATAGGCAAGGGGCTGGCTCTACCAGCTGCATGGAGCCGGGCTCATAAGGTGTGGATACGGCTTCCCCAGTGGTCACGTCAAACTCACATTCCCATCTACCTCCTATCTCCCACTCCAAGACCCCCTGAACTGGGGTGGGGGGGAAACCTGTGCCATGGCCCGTCCAGCCTGTCTGCGTGTGTGCGCCTTGGTGAGATGGAGCCTCCTCGATTCGACCACTCTCCCATCCTTGCAGCCAGCGAGGAGCAGAGAGCCAGGGATGAACAGGCCCCGCCGGGTGGTGCTGAACAAAGGCGCATCTATCCAACACGAGCAAACACAACTGCACACGGATTGCAGTATCACCCTGGCTTCCTGTAGCTGCAGATCAGGAGGGATGCTCTGACGGGCTGCCTTGCACTCGAGTCTTGCTGCTTCTCTCCGCTCAGTCCAGCTCCTGCCAGATCTGGAGTCTGAAAACCTGGTCCTCACTCTGGTTCTGCTACCTGCCGGCTGTGAGACCTCAGAGAAGCCATGTCACCTCTCTGAGATTATGTCTATATTTGCAGATGGGGTGGATGATAACTAGCCTGGTCAGGTGGCCGTGGGAACTGCAAAGGAGGGTATAAACTGTGGCTGAGCTGGCCGAAGACTAGAAGGCACTGCAGGGGCAAGATCTCCTCATAAACCTGTGTATTTTCTCTTGCTCTGAGGTGTGTGCATTACCCCAATTATTTTGATCACAGGAACCACAGCAGACACTTGTCTACGTCTCTAACGAGTGGAAGCTGAGTTCAGAGAGTTTACATGACTCAACCCAAGTCACTGCCAGCAGCAGATCAGGTACACAAACCGAGGTGTCCTGACCCAAAGCTGTGAGCAGCCCTGCCACCTGCACCCACGACGGCCTCATACTTGAATGTGCTTAACCACGCCTGCAGTTAACAGCCCAGCTCTGCTGATCTTTTTATGTACAACCATCCTAAAAGCTGGGTTAAAAATCCTGGCCCTTCTTAATGCAGCAAACCAGGACGGGTGAGGCTGCAGGTGGCTCCGTCTCTCCAGTGGGCCCCAACCCGGGCATCTCCGCCTGAGCAGTGGAGGGGATGGCCCCAGCCCCAGCTCTGCAAACGGCACCTCAAGCGAGAACGCAGGGCACCGAGAGACACACTTACTTGAAGGTGTCCGCTTCACGCCAGAGGCCGAATCGGCTTTTTTCTGCTGACTGCTCAGTGTCTTGCCTTTTCCGGGAACCCCGTTGGATGCCACGGGAGGCTTTTTACCCTTCAGCTGTCGAAATAAACATACGTGAAAATTAAAAACAGACAAAACCTTGGGGTTTTTTGTAGTAAATGGTTTCAGTCTCTGACTCTTGAAGTAGAAACTATCACAGACAGAAAAAAATGTGGACAGCAGAAAACCAGTGTGGCTTCCCAGCACTGGACTGCTGACACCTTCCCAGAGCAGCTAAGGAGTAGAAGTTCTAGCACCGAGGCTCAGAGCGAGCGCAGGACACCAGGATGTCTTCGGTTGGGACGCACCAAAAGTTACCTTTTCCTACCGGGAGGTCAATTATGCCGATCAAGAAACCGGCCGGGGCAGCGGGCAGCTGAGGGCATTCGGCTGAGATGACTGAAAGTCTGTTTCCAGAGACACACAGCTTTTATTTTGGTGGAGTGCTCTTTAGCGGAGCAGCAGGACTGAGCACTTAGGAGTCCAACTGCCAGGGCTTATGGTGCATCCTAACTGGGTAAATAGCTGCCTTCCGAGTCACTGACGGGGGCTGAGGGAGGATGCACAGGCAGCAAAACACAGCGGCAGCGTGGCCCAGGTGTTAACGAACTGCTGGTTAGAAGATTCAGCAAGGCCCCCGCTTCTTTGCTGCAAGCCAATGGATGCTGCATTTTGCGTAAGTGTGTGTGCGCCTCAGCTGGATGGCGGGAGCTGCCTGTGGACATCCCAGCCGGGCCACCCCGCTGTCCCCGCTGCTTCCTGCCGTGGACCTGGGCTTGCGGAGCTTCAAATTCTGGCTCCATCACTTGGGAGACGCTGAGCAAATCACTAAAACTTCCTGAGCCTTTGTGGGCTCGTTTAAAAATCTAAGGATAATGGGGGAAGGGTAGAGCTCAGTGGTCGAGCACGTGCTTAGCATGCACGAGGTCCTGGGTTCAATTCCCAGTACCTCCATGACATACATAAACACACCTCATTACCCTCCCCAAAAAACTCCAATAAAATAAAAGAAACTGTCATTAAATGAATGAATCAATGTAAAAGCACAAAGATACTGATGCCTCCCACAGGCTTCCTAAACAGGTTAAATGACACACCACAGACCTAGAGCACATGTACTGTGGGTGTGCAGGACGTGAGCTCTCTCCATTAAATAGCAGGTCCCCGATTTAAATGGCCAAATGAGGACAGGAAAACTAAAGGTGCTATAATTCAACTTGCAAATGTGTGTCCTACTTAAAGCAAAACAAAAATGAATGAAAAGCAAACACACATAAGCCTTGTATCAAATGATTCTGAACTAATCTGGGGACAATCCAAACGTACAAGATAGCATATTTCGCCCCATAATTTTTACTGAAGGGAACTCTAATACGAATAAAAAGTCAAAAATACACCACCAGATACGCATTCACTTAGTAGGTGAAACATGTGACCTGCCAAACCTTTTACAGAAGGACTCATAAAAAAGCCAGAAGCCCGTGGCCCCCACGTCTGACGACACAGTCGCCCGGGCCCCTCAGACTCACTGAATCACAGTCTCCAACTGTTGTTAAAAACGAAAAACAAAAATCTTCCCATGTGATCGTGAAGAAAACTTCATTTGGAAGAGCCGCTATAAGCCATCACACTCTGAGATTCTAGGATCTTACTTGGCATTCAGTATTTTCTTAAGATTACCCACCCCTCCCCCCCAAAAAATGGAGGGAAAAGAAAGTAATTTAAAACGTGACCATCTGCTTTATGTTGGTAGAGCACTCTTCCACATGGTGCTTAGATCTTTGTGCAAAGCACAAAAAAATTCCTAGGTTGAAATGCATGAAAACACAGAATTAACATTTATACTGAGATGTTGCCACAGGCAGGAGGCGTGGGATGGACAGTAGTTCAATATCAAGGTTATTTACCGTTCAACAAATCCTTACTGTCTGACTGGCTTTAGGGAGTACACTTGAGTACTTACTCATTATGGAAAAACATCATGGTTCTCTGAATAACCCTATTTAAGGTGTAAAGATTGAAAAGCAGTTACCACATGGAGTCCACCACTCCTCATTTACATGAAACAGAAACACAGGAAGGAACTTGCAGCTCAGAAATCTTCTGAAAACTTGTCCTGTCCCTATCCTCTTTCAAATCTTTGCCTTTAATTGGCATAATTCATGAAATCCACTGGGGAATTTTCCAGGAATGGAAAGAGGGCCGGGCAAAGAAATACAGCACGCAAACTGGGAACTAGCTAGGCATATTTAATCCGTTCCTGGGTGGTCAAACGTTGATTGCATTTGAAATTCTATTCTAGTCAAAGAGGAAATCACACCCATCCTTGAGAAGCCTCACTGACCACAAACTGGTGAATACACTGTCCTTGCAAAACCCTGCCGGAGGATCATGGCTTAAGGGGGTTCTAGAAGAAGACAGACCGGGGTGCCGTACCTGGGAGCTGAGCCCGAGAGACGCCCTCCCCAGAGAAGAGGTGTTAGTGACAGACGGGGAGGAGGGCAGGCTGCAGGAGGCAGGGTGTCTGTAATGGTTACGAGACAGGCCGTCAGCAGGCGGCCTAGAAGCCCTCCTGGCAGCAGGCGGGCAGCGCGCAAAGATTTTCGGGGACGGCAAGTTATCGTACAGGACCGCGGGATCGCAGGGCGCCTCTTCTCCCGGGCCTCCGCCACCGGGCGCAGGAAAGCCGCCGTCGGGTTCCCACTGCAACACACACAGCCTCGCCGTTAGTGCCGCGGCCGCAGAGCGCAAAGCGGGCCGAGATGTTGTTAGCAAGCACCCCGAAAGCACGTCCACGCTCCCCCCCCAGCCGTTACCAATGAAACACACACACGAGCAGGTGGGCTGATTCAGAAGAAGGCTCTCCCTGCGGGGCTTAAGGAAAGGGTTCTTTTTCCGTTCCCAGAGTCATCAGCTTATGATATTTTTGCTTTGTTCTGTTTTTTCTTTTTAAGTACCCAAAAAAACAGAAAGAAAGATTGGACATTTCTTTTTCCAAAGAACCGGATTTCAGAAGTCCTCCTAATCCAGAGGCAGAAGCAGTGTGGTATCGGGAAAGGAAGGCTGGCTGGGGGCCCCGGAGATCCGGAGCTCTGGCTCCACCAAGAAGACGCGCTGAGATCCCAGCAAAGCGCTTTATTTTATTTCACAGTAATACTGACTCATATAATTTTTTCTCACAGGAATCTTATTAAGCTGGGGGAGCCGAAGCAAGAGGCCCCCAAGCTCAGGCTGCCTCTGGGCCGCCAGGAGGATGAGGGCTCGGGTCAGACCACCTGGGCCTACCATGCACACATCGGGGCCTGAGGTCTGTGGGTGGCTCTCTGACTGCCCTCGTGTGCCACACTCGGTGAGGCCGGAAGAAAGTGCAGTAACCAAAAACAGTCTGTGAAAAGAAAGAAATCAAACCATCCTAGAAAACAGGATGTTTCAAAATATAGTGGCTATAATGGCACTGCGTGAGTGGAAAGCCTTTTTATGAAGGATTAAGATAGCTACAAGCCACTTTAGAACATAGACATTAAAGCATAAACTAAAACCCAAGCTAACAACCACCACCAGATTCTTTTAAGTTTTAAAGGTCTTTATAAATTGCTTTGCATTTTAAAAAAGAGAGAAAATATTAATTCATAGACTACACTTATTTTACTCTATTTTTATACCCTTCTTGACAGGTTCCTTTCTGCCAGAATGTAATTGCAGCCTTTTGTTATAAAAATAGAAAAAGTTTAAACTTTCACAGCAGGCATGTGTTTATTCCTTCGCCATCGCTTCAGTGTGTCTATTTTTGTGATGCCGGGGACCCGTCTACAACCTAAAAATAATGGCA